TCTATGTTTTACCTGGATTTCTGTAGGAAAAATTGTCTCTACAAATAAGTCCTCAAAATAATCGTACAACACTTTAAAGCCTCATATTATTTACAAATGAGTAGAGTAAATAAATTAAAAACAGCTACAAGTTGTGAATATGTTCAGTTCATAGTGAAAAAAAACTTTCCTTATAAGTTATATAGAAATATAATTTTACATTCTTAGTCATTTTAGGAAAGAAAAAAAATGACTTTTAGACCCATACTACTCACAAATGCTCATTTCTTTATATTTTTTTGTAAACAGGGAAAGTTAGATGGATACAGAGATGAGCTCAATAATGGAAAGGAATTGAATGAAGATCAGTTGGTATGTATTATTTGATTAGCATTAATCTTCTGACTATTCTTATTGATAATAATCTACTAAGTTATTTTATAACTTATTTAATGGAATACAACATTCAAATGTTTCAAATTTACCTAACTCATAGTTACAAGAGTAATTAAGTTCTTCTGCAGGAAAGACTCAAAAATTTGTAAAAGATCTCACTTCCAGTTTATGAACTAAAAATACTGCATGGAAATTATACCAACATAAGTAAGGACTGCAAAAGGTGATTATTTCCACGAGTTGCATTTATTCATTTAACTCTTTCAGCACAGGCGCGGCCCCTGGGACTGACCTTTTTGTGCTTGTTATAGTTTTCATGCTATAACATTTAAATTAGTAAGCAAATGTTAGCAAAATATCAATTTTTTTTTAAGTCTTAAGGTTTGTAAAGCAATGTTTTTCTCATGCCTTTTTCTTTCACATGTTGCCTATCTAACATGCAAAGTAATTTTCATTTTAAGATTAAAAATCCTTTTGAGCATTCGAAATTTTTCAATTTTCACACGAGAAATCTCTATAATGTCCAGATAGTTATCAAACATTTCTTTACAAATACTTTATATTTTATCTGTTATTTTCAGTAATTAATCTGTGTATGGGTTTGGAAGATTTGACCGATCTCATAACCAACATATAAAATCAGGAAATAAATATAAATTATGCCTTTTTCATTCTAGAATGAACACACATTATGACACAAAAACATAAATGTTTGGACTAAATAGCTTAAATCTCATAAC